AAATTATCTAACATGTTTAATAATTTCTGCCTACGAAAGCTACTGCAGTGCTTACAGATTGTCGTAACAGCGAATGCGTAGTATACGAAGTAAACATCCAAGATGGCGGCGGAAAATGAATTGCTGGCTGAGGCAATTTTAGAAGACAAACTTGTCGTGATAATGCTGTTACACCAACTTGTCTACAAGCTTGCTACAAGCCTGTTGAGAACATATCTTGTAGACAAGTTGTTGGAACAGCATTGTCACAACATGTTAACAAGCTTGTGTTGAGGCTAGCTCAACACTTCCGGTCAGTGCAGTGCTCTCACAATCAAATTTTCGAATTCCTTAGAAAAAACTCGAAAATTCCTCAGATTTCCTTAAAATTCCTTAAATTGGTAAAATTACCACAAGGCCTGTTTTTTTTTCTGTTTTTCAGTTTTTATAACCTTGTTTCTAAGCACTAACAATTGAAAACATTTGATTGTTAACATAATGCCATAAAGAAAACATTCAACATGATGTATTTGTGATCGTTGCTGCATGAAGAGCTTAAAAAATCTGTAGATTTCAGAGGAAACAGCATATACTGACATTTAACTTTTGAGAATTTTAATGAAAAGACCAGTGGCAGACCACTTTACACTTTAAAATTTGAATCCCGGAAATGGTATTTGCAGCGTTCTGAGAACACATTTTGTAAAAAACTAGGGTTTCAAAACACTGTTTTAATTAATGGCGCGTTTTGTTATAAATCACATGCCAAGCCATGTACAGAAACATATACTATTATATTATGTTAACAATTACGTTATATGAGTGTGATTTGTGTTATTTGGTACAAGATTTTTGCAGTCTTTCAAAATTATTGGGGGGGGGGGGCTTAGGGCCCCCTAGCTCCCCTAATTATGTGCGTATAATGTTGCTACTTTCAAGTTTAAATCTCATTTGCGTGGCGTGGTTATCCATCCTCCGTCCAACGTTTTTAGTCCAGGATAAAATGTTTCGGAAATTCCTTAAAAAAATCCTCAAAAACCTAAATTCCTTAAAAAAATCCTTAAAACTCATCAAAATTCCTATTTTTAAGGATAATTCCTTAAAAGGACACTGTATAGGAGAACTAGATTGCTGACTGTAATGTATTCTATAACGCACGCGACGCGCCAACATGAGCATTCAAAATGGCGGCTCAACCGGTCAAAAATCATAGAGCGAGATAGGGAAAAACCATGTTTTTCGCATTTTACGCCTGCTTACTGTTTCCGATCCCGTTCAACCACCTTTTTGGGGGGAGAACTAACTGGTGTGAATGTTTTGGATGGATATTTGTACAATTTAAGTTGAATAAAGACGAAATAATCGATCGCTAAATGTTTTCTGAAACTCATCACATGGTCGGTTGGGCAGTTGGAGACATTTTATTGCAGAAATTAAAGGTTTTGGTTCTTTGGGTGCTTTTTTTCTCGAGGATCTCGGTTGGGATATATAACAGGGAATAATATTGTGAAGTCTTTTGAATTTTAAAACCTATTTTGCCTGATTTACCTGGTCTGCTGGTGCGAAAACTCTTATGCTCTGTTTACAAGTGTTTAGTGTGACTTTGATGACATCCTTGCTGCTGCAGATGTCAAGGAATCTCAAATCTATATGGCCTGGACAGTGAAAAGTGATGAATCAATCAGGATTTGAAAGAGAACTAGTGACAGCAAAAGTTTTCAATGGAAACTATTTTGAAGAAACTGACTAATTTGTCTAGTATGCATCAAAAACCTTCACAGTATATCTAGTTTTCTCCAAGAAACCTGATTGATTTATCATTGATATCAATCAAAAATAGATGGGACAGCATATTCTTTCAGCTATTTCTTGGATTGGCCTTTTATTAATTGCTTTCCCTTATTAACCCAGCAGTAAGCACTTTCCCCTTGACAAGTAAAATTATCTGGTGTTAGAGTAAAATAATAAAGTAGGGTGCGACTCAATGGGAACGGACCCATGGCCAGTTAACCCATTAAGTACCAACACTCTCCCCTTGACAAGTAAAATCATCTGCCGTAATGCTGTTAGACAAAATAAAATAATAAAGTAGGGCACATCAGGGCACAATGTGACTTAATGGGTTAATATAGTTGTTGGGAGTAAGTTGTTTCTCGCAGAATACTGAATATTTGGTTGGCATCCAGTCTGCCCATTTCATTGCTGTTATCCAACTTTTTAGCCGGCTGTGATTGGTTATAGGAAATCTAAATAGTGTGAAGGGAAATATGTATTTTTGGTTCACTGATGTGAACAAAACTCAAATTTTGACCTTCAACAGGACAAGGACCTCTATGAAAGTTATTGTCAACATGCATATATATATATATATATAGACTCCTAACACAGACATCAAAACAAGAAGTTCTTTTTGCTCTAATGTTCTTTTACTAAAACTGCAAACAGTTTTATATTGTAGCCAACAAGCTCAAAACTACATTTGTTGTCATTATTGTATTTACAAAACAAATTGTTTTTATGCCATTAAAAGCTGTCTTATTTTAATTAATAGTCTTATATTATTGTTTATATGAAGTATATTATAGTGTACAAATATACGATATGTGTGTTTCATAGACTTACTTATGGAAGGACAAGCGATTACCATCTTTTAAATCCCCACGTCTGGCCTTGCAGTTATACTCAGCACACAAAACAGGCGGAGATTCAAGGCATTCTTTTCGATAGAAAAACAGATTTTTTAGAATAGAATGCCCTAGAATTTTCAGATGAAAATACTGTATTTTGGTCGAAATAACAATGAAAGAACAAAATAAATAATAGTAACTTTTGGAATCGTCAGATATACGTTACATTACTGTAGAAAAACTGATAAAAGACTCGAGGAATACACAGGAAAAGAAACCAGGCCGGCAGTTTCGCGCCATTTTCGTCTTTGCCCATTCTTGCCCGGTTGAATTTTAAACTGTAAATCGTACTAATTATAACAAATATACATCCAAAACTTTCACACCAGTTAGCTCTTCCAAAAAAAAGGTGGTTCAACGGGATCGGAAACAGTAGGACGACGTAAAATGCAAAAAACATGGTTTTTCCCTATCTCGCTCTATGATTTTTGCCCGGTTGAGCCGCCATTTTGAATGCTCATGAGTGTCACGCGCGTGCATTATAGAAAACATTAGAGTCAGCAATCTAGGTCTCCTATATCTATGCTTTCAACATGGCGGCCACGCCGGAAGTCGGCTGACCACTGAGCTGTATAATAACTGGAGGACCTGCTCCTATACTTCGTTCAGTCAACGAAGTGAAGCCAAAAACATGGCGGATTTTCAGGCAAAATGACGCCATTTCCATGACAACACTTACTTTATTTTCATGGTAGGTACCACTGACCAGGCTCATTTCTGAGCCCACGGCCGTTTTCATCCCCCCCTGGTTTTTGCAAAAAGGTTTTGCAGATATTATAGTTCTCGTGGTTTCGAATCGGTTTTTAAAATTTTTTTATTTAAATTTTCTACCTTTGACTATTTGGACAAAGATATGCAAGTCGTACGTGTTATTCTCGCCCGTGAAAGACGACAAACAAATTTAAAACCTCAAGAAATGTGGGAAAAGACTTGAATATGGATTTTATACAAAGGGTAAGAGACAAATTTGCACTTTTTCAATTTTTTTAATATTTAGACTTTACCTTATTTGACATGAAAATGATAAGCATAACGATGAAACTGACACTCTATTTGTTAATAAAACAACTTCCTATGTAATACACATGGTAAAGTGTAAAATTTCCCACTATTTCACTAATTTTAGCAAGCTGTGATTCATAATCGCAAAATATTTGGTTACAAACTACGAAGCTTTGATCGATATTCATTCACATATACGAGGATTACGACGGTCTTTAAAGTGCGAACTGTCTAGTGTATTAATAATGTTTAAAAGGTTGACTCCTGAGGTCTCGTTTTATAAGCAAACAGCCTCATTTCCAGGATGGCCTGTTTTCTTACATGTTTTCTCAGTAAATATCACTCTGAATGAGCAATGTACCTTTTATATAAGTGCACTCATAGTTCTGATACCCCTGGTTTAAGTTGAGGAGTTAGGTCACATTCTTTTGTTTACTGTACCTTGATCATATGCTAATTATGTTACTGGTGGATTTTTGTACAACCTACATAATTAATCTACTCTTGTTTATTGCAGATTTATTCCACAATGACACACTCCTTTCTGGGTGGCAAGTTACAGTACCAAGCCTGGCAAGCCACACATATCTTTGGAAACTGAACATACTGTATTTTAATACATGCTTCCAGAAATTATGTCACCTTGGCTATATATAGTCTCATTTTCACGATTGAGACATTGGACTTTAACTCATGCCACATACATGAAAATGAGGCTCCTGTGACAAGGTGAAATACATTGTGGAAGGGTGTATTTGACTTTTTTGAAAAATTATTGGCAGTAAAAAATAAAAAAATAAAAAAATTATAATTTTAATTGCTATAAAACTTATTTACACTTCAATAAAGTTATCATAATTATTTATGTTGTTATGCATGGTATTATAATTAACTAATTAATTTTGTTGTTCTGCATGTTTTTCTGCATGTTGATGCCTCAGTGCCATCTTTTGTGCATATTAAACATATAATTTCTGCAAAATAAAAGATGACATTATTATCATAATACATTATACATCTTTACATCACATGAAAAATATCATATACACATATGTTAACCCTTCACAAGTAGCAATGTGTCTTGATATGCCTTACTATATTATTTCAATCTAGTCCTAATGCCAGACAATTTTACTAGACTAAGTCAAGGGGAGAGTGTAATACTGCAATCACATGATCTGTTTTTACCAAGACCATTGATCCGAGCTTCAAAATTAAATGTCATGTTTCAATATTCAGCAATGCAATTATTACATTCCTAACTAACTCCTAAAATATGTCAAACTTAACTATTATGAGCAAATTTCATCATAATTTCTCACAGGCTGTGTCATGGCCAATCGGACATCACTACTCCCAATGTTAGAAATCATGGGTGGATTTACTTGGGGGGGGGGGGTTAAACCCCTCTAAAAAAGTGATCAACCCCACCAAAATTCTGCTTCACCCCTCCCATTTTGTGTGAAAGGCTTTAACCCAAATGCCTAACCCCTGCCAAAGCTAACTGAGTGGTGCCGCTTGCACCCCACCAGAAATTTTTCTACCCCTCCTTTTAAATAAATGAAAATCCACCCTTGTTAGAAATGTTGCACCTCATTAGTGTATCAGTGACTCACTTAAATCCTGGCGGCTTGTGGACAACATTTTTGTTGCCCATAAGCTGTGTAAAACTATATAGTTTTATATAGTTCTGAACAGACAATGGCAAAATGATATCTACAGGGTGTCTCAAAAAAACCCAAAATCATTGAAATAACGTATTGTTCGAATTTCAATGCCGTAACACAAAGGATTTTGACAGGGTGATTAATTTGTTTTAAAAAATTAAAATATCTTTGTAAAGTGAACGTTTGTTTGCTCATGGGAATTTAAAAATGTTTCGTAAATTGTAATATGCGTAATATGCATTCGTGGGTTTAGTACTTTATGCCTGACATAACAAGTTTACGCTGAGTATTACCATTCATTATAGCAGTTATGTCAATCTTTTATGCACTCGTGGGATTAACTTAGTGCTAGGGCATTGAATATCGAACAATACGTCAATTTCAATGATTTTGGGTTTTTTTGAGACACCCTGTATTTTAAAGACTCTTCCCTTGATGAGTAAAACATCTGGATTTAATCTCACAGATTGAGTAAAATAAGAAAGTAGCCGCCAGGGTTCATAATTGCAGCTTAATGGGCTGACTATATATCTCAGGGGCTGCTCATTTGCAGATAGGGTAATTAACCCACTGTGTGGCAGCAGGGAGCAGTCTCAATCCCCTTAAAATCATCTAGCATCAGACAGACAGAATAAAATAATAAAGGCAGTCTTTAGGGTTCATCAGGACAGGGCACATGCATTGTCACATGTAGGTGGGCCTCCTCTACGGCTCAACTCTCTCTGGTCTTGTGCTTATCTATATATACTAATTCTGCACTGTGATGGGCAAGTATATAAATTTCACACCATATTTAATAAACGTTTTAAAATATATGAACATGTAATTGTGATGTAAACAACCACAATTTTTAGTATAAATTAAAAACTGGCAATAAAACCACCAAGGCCAGTGCTGTCTGCTGACACAAAACAACATAATTTCATGTACACAATGTTTAATCGTTAACAATACTTTTATGTCCCCTATTGAAATATTTGCTGTATATATTAGGATGAGTTTTTGACATAATATGAAGGGTCTAGTGACTCTAGCCGTCTAGAAAGTTATAAAAAAGTTTCGTGAATCTTACCTGAAAGAATTAGTCTTTCTTTGTAGTGAAATGCTGATCCACAAGCGAAGCAAACCCGCACCCTCGCTCCCCGTTGTAAAACAAGTAATGTTCGAGGGAAATATTAAGATTTTTTAGCTCAAAAACAACAGAAAACTTTTAAATATCTATATCGTATTAAATATTTGCCCAAAAACCAGGGGGGTTAAGGACATCGTCGGAAGCTTAGGATCGCGGTTGGTCAGTGGCAATTACCATGAAAATAAAGTAAGTGTTGTCATGGAAATGGCGTAAGATCCGCCATGTTTTTGGCGACACTTTTTGATCCCGAGCAGGTCCTCCAGTAATATAGTATAGCTCAGTGGTGGAAACACGCTCAGTTATGCAAATAAACATGGCTGAAGATATTTATAAAACTCGAATATCCTCATGTTTTATGCATTTTGATGGCGTTACGGAGCAACTTTGCAAAGTTACACGCCAAAGGCTTAAAAAATTTCTTGAGTGTAGGTCAAAATGGGCCAAACTTAAATGTCAACAAGCTGATAGAGCTAAGAAATCGGTACGAGAACATCGATGACGGATCTGTCAATTCATACATGGAGAAGAACCCTGACACCATTAAACTTAGAATGGAACCATCATATGAAATGCTGGAAGAGATTTTGTGATGAAGAGAAGATCTGTAGATAACAGAGAAAAGAAGAAAAAGGAGAAGGAACTAGCTGTAAAACTGTAACTTCTACCGAAGAATCACACGTGGAAGTGGAGGCAATAGAACCAAGGCGAAAAATTAATACACGTCAATCAGTCAAATTACACGTCAAGGCCCTGCCTAAAAGAAACGCGCATGTATTCCCAGAGATATGTATTATTTGTGGAAGAGACGCCTCGTGGTTCTCACTAGACAAGGTATGGTCATTTTGATAGGTATAATACTAGCGCAATGTGCACTTAGGGTAAAGTAGTTTCTATGCTACAAACATCTAACCTTGTTATTAGTAGATATTTAGTTTAATAATTTATTTTGTTTCACACCAGGCAACTAAGAAGAGAAGAACCCCACTCATGTTGGCAGAAACAATTGATGCTGGTCTTCTACGTACAGCTGCCGAGAGAAAGAATGATCAACGGATATTCGTATAAATCCAGGGGAAAGACTGTGTATCTCTGGAAATCCGCTATCACAAAGTCTGCTACTGCAATTATACAATATTTCTCACCAGAGAGACGAAGAAGCAACAAGAGCATCAGTGTACGAGAAGTCTTATGATGTATTCTGTAAAAAAGTAATTGAGATGGAGGTCATCTGAAATAAGCAAATAAAGTATATGAAAGAATCAAAATTTGCTGGAGAAATTTGTTATCATTCCTAAGGACACTGAGAATGTGGATGCATCTAAATATAGAGCTTTTAAACTCAAGCAATGACTGATGAAAAGTTATCCCCAACGTGTGTTCTGTGTACCGAAAATGAGAAATGTTAGTGAGATTGTACTTGTGGAAAATTTTGATTCTTCTGAATTGGTTGAGGAACATATGTCAATTAAGGGCCTGTTTATATGGAAGTCGGGCTGGCCAGCTTTGCGACACAGCCCGGTAAGCGGGATGAATTTCTCTTGTGTTTATATGGGATACTTTCACCCCGTTTGCCGGGACGATTTTGTTACATTGTATTGTTTTGACAGTTGTTAAAAATAGATTGCGGCGGTATCTTTGAACTTTCATCCCGGCAACCGGAATAGCCCTCTTGTAAATGTTTATATGGAGAAATTTCCATCCCGGTCAGCGAGATCTAGCCTCTTTCAAACGAGATCTCTGCAACCGGGCCAGCCCGCTTGTCCATATAAACACACAATAACTTTTACTATAAAAATAACTACACAGCGAGATCTCGCTTACTAGGCTGTCTTGCTTATCAGGCAGGCTTCCATATAAACAGGCCCTAAGTCTGAAAACAATGATGAGGACTTTGATGAAGAGAGCTGTACCATTGATTATGAAGATGTGAATTCCAACACAAAAACGGAGGGAAATTCTAAAGTCAATGAGTTACAAATTCTATACAATGCTGCATTGATTCTTCACCAAAAGGTGCAAGAAATACCAAAACTGAATCTTCCTTGGCCACCATTGGCATCTGATTTGACAAGGGATAATATTTCAAATCCGACTATGAGGTCAGGACTAGACTGATTTCAAGTCCACACAATTTGATTATGTCCGAGGCGAAGCAGAGGACTGGATCAAAATGTGAGGTCTTGAAATCTAGTCCAGTCCGAATTGGAGGATTTGAAATGACATCCATACGAATAAATCACTACTTAATTAATTTTAATCCAGTTCAAGGACTGAATTAATTTTAATCCAGTCCTACAGTAGAGCACTACAGGATCAATATACTTCATAAGGGATCTAGTATTATCATGTGAGCAAAATAAAGCAATATGGTTGGCTAATTTGCTCATGAATTATTAATGATTTGAGGTGAACAATGGTGGTAATGCACATAGATATTATCAGTGGAGTAGATCAGTATTATTTACTTATTCGATATTCTCAATCGAATCCACAGTATTTATATTATCAACACATATATCCCTCTCATGGACAGGGTAACAGTATGGTCATGTCTGGGAAGCTAAAACGCACCCTGGTGGAGGAGCTAAAATGCACAGCAGCAAATCTATAAGAAAAAGTCAACTAGTGTGGACAAGAAAAACCATAATGAATCGTTTGTTGTTATTCTAGATAGTGGCTAAATACCAACTTATGTCACAATATAAATAATAATATATGTAATAGTTCAAATACGAGAAGTAGAACTTTACCAGATAAAAGCCAGGACAGCTTATTGCAGAATACATGCACTCTCGTTTTGAGCGTGCAAGCCCTTAGCCTGCGGTGCAGACGCAATTTCCTGCAACTAGCAAGCCCTTGGCCAGGATCCAATAAGTGGGATTTTATTGCTCTGATGAAAATCTGGGTTCAAAGATGAAAACATTTCTTTCAATTATAGATAGCTATAATGAAATTATGGATTTTATATTTGCTCCCAATTTATCTTTTTTTATGATGAATTTCGAGTTTCACGAATATTTCCGCAACATTGTTTCTTACGTTTGGCCAATGCTTTAAGTTTAGCGAAACATTTCATTTGTTCCTTGATTGTGTGAATTGTATGTATATATATTTTTTATTTCTTTGTCCTAGCTGTTTCATACAGGTGGGTTTTTTACCTCACACAAATTTGTATTGATAATACAAAGTAGAATTAAACGTTAAAACGGTATTTTGAAACAATAACCAATGAATTGAAGTGATTTAGCATAAGAGCAAGCAAAATATACAATGTGTTTTTAACAATATTTAATGTGGGTGTATTTATATACAAGGTTTATCAGTATTCCGTGACTTTATTTTGTTGTTTTTGCGGAGGAAATCGGGGAAACCCCCTAGTGAGAATCTATCTTTATAGTCTGCGAGTGCGCAGTACGAGTTTGGCTGAGTTGCGCATGCGTATTTGCTACCAAAATAATGGCGGTTCGAGTATTTCGAAGCGCGAAAATATCAAACTTTGGAGGGATTTTTCTCCCAATTGTGCACCTGTTTCGCTTGGGGAGCAACGGATTCTGATAAAGTAAGTTTTTATCTATTTATTCATGTGAAAATTACGTAGTTACACGAGGGGTGCAACGGAATTGCATCTTTTGGATGCTCATCCTACGGCCTAAATGACGAATGAACAAAAGAAAACTTGTCGTCATGCCGACTATCCATCGTATAAAAACAGTTTAAGGATTGAGGTTATAACTCAGGGTTTGTTTGAGAAAAGTTCTAGGACACAATTGAAAGTAGAAGTTGTCCCACCTTGAAATGTTAGCGTTGCACAAGATGTGATAATCTGTATTTTGCCGTTGTAAACGGAGCGACGGCAACGTCTAAAACCTCTGTGGGACGGCAACGTCTAAAACCTCCGTAGTTCAATTCTGCTCATTTTCGTGTATTAATATGATATTTGCCGTCCTCGTTGCAGTGGGCTGCACTTTCATCCAGCTTGTTGAGGTTCTTAATAACAGCAGTTCTTTATAATTTTAAAAGCCTGTGTGAATTTCAAGGCTGTTTCTTGTCACGTTCCTTGTACTAAATTAAAGGGGAAGTCAAGTCCGTTCTGCGCATCGGTTCTGCGCATAACAATAGAGGGCCCTCTGAGGTAAACATTGCCCAAATTTTGAATGTTTCGAATTTTTCTGAACACAAACTCTATTTCATATTCATGTAGAAGCATAACGAACCAAAATGGTGTTAGATATTCAGACAGTACATCATATTTTAAAAAATACAGCAGTTCAAAATGTAAACAAACCGTTTGTTTACATTACGGACTTGACTTCCCCTTTAAGCTTTGCTTAATGGACCATTTGCATTATAGACTAAATTTTGATCTAGACAAATATTTCATCACGCTTGAAAGAGCATCACAAAATTAGTAATATTCCAAAGTTTCGTTGCGAAATGTTGTAAAACGCGGAAAATTAGCCTTGCAAAGTTTGCAATTTTCAGTCATTTTAGATTACAAACGGGAAATTGATGCCCCAACACCCGATTGGGCTGTCAATTTCGCGTGCGTAATACAAAATGACTGAAAACGGCAAACTTCGCAAGGCTATATTATCCTCATTTTACAACATTTCGCAACGAAACTTTGGAATATTACTAATTTTGTGATGCTCTTTCAAGCTGTGATGAAATTTTTGTCTACATCAAAATTTAGTCTATAATGCAAATGGACCATTAAGTTCGCTAATATGTTTAGAGTACCGATTTACGGAATCCTGGGAAATGGACCGACGATCTTGGAGGTGGACGATTGTGATAATCTTTCGAAAGAATGCGAGTAGTAACCATAGGTATAGTAACGGAGTTATCCTTATTGTGAGCAGTCCAAGCCTTGGCTTGCATGCATGCCTCAAGAGGGTGCTTATAATAGGAGTTTAAGATTCACGTTTGAGGGAAGCAAAGTTCGATTTTCCTGGAAGAATTTTCGTTCAACTTCTTTGTTTCCATAAGCGTCGGAGCGGATCCTTTTTTTTTGGGGGGGGGAAGGGCACTCGAAAGTTTTTATTAATATAGTAACCTGAATTGGCCCAAATGTTTTTCATTCACCCATTT